AGCGCAAAGTTGTAGTATTTCCTCAGCAACCAGCACAGATCAGCTCCAGGCATGACGAAGCAGATATCGTCCTCTTTTGGAAGACCAAACAAAGTAGCTTCGCTTTCACAACGAAGCACAAAGCGTCTTTACGACACGGCGGCGGAAACAACAAAACTACAGCGAGAATAAAAGTTACGCCTTCTTTCTTTGCGTGAACATTTGGGCGGCGTTATGCAAATCTTCCCACATAGTGAGGTAGATATGTGGGGGCGTGTAAGAACGAGCCGTTTTAGGTAGGTGTGGCTGACTCTTAAATTTTATAAAGAATATCTCTTTGGATTTGAGACTTTAGTCTTTGCAACTTTACAGATCTTCTTTATGCACTAAGAGCTTGTAACACTCCAAAGAGAAAGGAAAAATTGAAATCGCATCATATGACCCCTTTAACTTTTGCGAATGGCATAACCAAATTTTTATTACCAAAATTGTTGAAATTGTTGATTATATAGACCTTATGTAGCTCCACCCCTTTTCAGCACTGCTTGTTGTCTTCTGTCTTCTGTTCGTATTTCTACAGCATGTAGGTAAGAATATACGCATTTATAAATGAACCGCTTGTTTTAAAATCTTAAATTGCAATTTTCTTGTTGGTAAATTACAGTTTTATACAGTTTTATACAGGTTGTTCTGTAAATGTTTAAATTTTTATTGTATTTTTTACAGAATTATTCTGGCAACCACATCTGCCAGGATCTGCTGGGGTATTTTTGTATAAAAAAAAACAGGATTATTTATTTATTGTATTTTTTTTTTTACAGTGTATACACACAAATATTGGTGGAATTTCACTGTTGTTATTATTTTAATAATTGGAATAATGCAAACGGATGGCTACAATCAAAAAGATAAAGCATCGATTAAGAACCTCTGGGTTCACAACAGGTCTGTCTTTATATACAACAGGTTTAAAAGTTATTCTTAAAAATCAATTCCCATATGGGGAAAACAAATGGAGTTTTTACTTCCAGAGCCCTATTGTTGCACTCTATTATGAAGCAAGGGCTTCATAACCTGAAGTTCAGTCATATTCTCCATTAAGCAACAATTATGCTGTTCTAACTGAAGATGGCACAAATTATCACAAGTATGGAAACAGTGCTTGGAATGCTCACAGTGGAAGTACAAGACAATGAAGGAACCGTAAGGATTAAGCAGCGGGATAAGGACAATATCTTCTTTCACGCAAACCCACAAGGCATGTGGTCCATGCTCTTGCTTTTGCAAAATTCAATATAATTTGATAGGGTTCAATAGAGCATGCAACAACAGATTCAGTGATCAGAACAATGGCAGCAAGCTTTAGAAATGAAATCCTACTCTGCTTACCGCAAGTGATCTGATTACTTTCTGGCCGAGGGCAGCAATAACAGACGTCTACTGAACTGAAAACATTAACTAACTGAACCTAGAGGCTTCAGTGTACTGTATGGAAAAGAGACGAGAAATGCAAGACAAGCAGGCATTGAGGAACGGCCACAGTCTTGGTTTAGCTGGCCTTTACAAATGCAAGAGCAAACACATTCCATTACTTTGTCAAATCTAGTATAGCATGTGTGTGTGTGTGTGTGTGTGTGTGTGTGTGTGTGTGTACACCTGTTCAGTGTCTCGGATACATCACATTTTTCCTAAAATGAGCATGTGTGTAAAGAAGAAAAGAGACTCTAAGGCTTTAAGTGTTGATTTAAAGGTTCAAAGTTCCTGACTATTAGTATTTGCAACAAAATATCCTCATGTGATACATACCTCAGTCTTTCCATTCAAGTCTAGTACAGTATTCTTACCACAAACAAGTGGCAAGAAAAATAACTGATACATCCGTGCAGCAACTTCACGGACCAAAACTAGCAAAGGTTGTCCGTTATGTGTCTCATGTACAAACGTGTCAGATTGAAAGTTTTTAGAAAACTTACCTGTTTTAAGAGAGATTCCGCTTAGTCTCTGCCTGACTCGCGCGCTTCTCGTTCAGTAAAAGTTTATAACTGGAGTGAGAGAGAGAGAGAGAGAGAGAGAGAGAGAGAGAGAGCGCTGCACCAACTCCTCCCTCTCCAGATTCCGTCAATAAGAACTCCCACCGCTCTGAGTCTGTTCACAAGGACAGTTAAAAACGCCCTTTCCTTAAAGCATATTATTAGTATTTTAAAGGGGTCATATGATGCGATTTCAAGTTTTGCTTTCTCTTTGGAGTGTTACAAGCTGATTGTGCATAGATACGATCCCTGAAGTTGCAAAGACTAAAGTCTCAAAACCAAAGAGATATTCTTTATCAAAGTTAAGACTAACACGGCTGGTTCTAACACACCCCACATATCTACGTCACTATGTGGAAATATTTGCATAATGCCGCCCAAATGTGCATGCAAAGAAAGAAGGCGTGGTTTCAGTAACCGCAGTTAGTGTTGAAGCAGTCAGGGAGACGCTGTGTGTTTCTAGGAGAAAGCAAAAGCACTTTATTTGGCCTTCCGAACTTCTAACATGTTATTTTTTTCCTCTAATTAAAATGTTTTCAAACTGTTTTCTTATATATGTCCCATAAATTCTCAATTTCCTATTCCAGTTTTTTCTTCTTCCTTTAATTAACAATTACATCATCTTTCAGGAGGTGACATCATTTTTGGTGGGGAAAACAGCAATGATTTTCATTTATGACATTCTAAACGAATATTAATAATATTAAGTTAATTAATCTGCTACTTCTATAGCTAATTTTGGTATAATGTAAATGTAATTTTAATTTTAAAAGCAGAAGCTCAACAATACCTAAAACAATATAAGTTAAAAAAAATTAAGAATACTGTAAACTGTTAATATTTGTAAAAATTTAAAGTTTTTAACTTTATTTCAAATGTTTTTATTTTTTTATTTAGTTGTAAATCTAAAAAATAAAGTAAAAAAATCTGAATTTGACATTTTGGTAGTATTTGGTTTGTCTCACTTTAAAAAATGTCACCCTGTTAGATAAAACATTAGAAAAAATATATATATAAAATAATAAAACGTATTAACTTAATGTTAATTTAAGTTACATCTCCTCATTGAGTAATGACTAACTTTAGCTCTGTATTTCCATCCTGTAAGGTTCCATAAGCAATTTATAATTTCTAAAAAGTGTATGAGCTTGACCAGAGCACATTTCTGAAAGCCCCTAGATTACACCACGAGCATATTTAAGTTATTAATAACAAAAATGACCCTTTTGTTCATATCTGATACAGTGGAGCAGGAACTGACCGCTTATAAATCTGTACCGACAGAACACCATGTAGAAATAATAACTCACCAGGAAGAAAATAAACACACTGATATGTATCAGGGGTTTTCACGGGATAACGAACAGGCTCGTCCAGGTACGCATCCTCGTAGCCCATCGGAGATGACAGGTACATTCCGAAAGTGTCATAGGTGCTTTGATTTCCCTCCTCAGGGTAGTAGAGCCGGCCATGCTGAAAGAGGAGACAAAATGGGTACCGTTTGTCTATCATTTACACATGTAATAATAACTAAATAAAAAAAATAATAAATGACACCATTTACTGATTTACAGTAAAAGTTTTTCTAAACACTCCTAAATGTGAAAAAAAAAAATAAATAAATAAATAAAAGATTTTAACAATAAACCAATTCAGAGTACAACTTATTAATAAATATTAGCATTTGTGAGAAGTGAGTCATTTCTCTGTAACTTCTACAGAATTACATTTCCTACAATTCCTTGCTGTTATAATGGCCCACCTGATTGGATAACAGGCGACATCTGCACGTTGCTGGTTGGCAGAGTAGGTTGGGAACGGTAACGGTCTCGTTCCAGTGTTGACACTGGGGTGATGAAGTGGTTCAGACATTGTCTGAAAGCCCATTTTTCCTTCTCAATTATATGTATGTCAGAATAATGTTCTAGAAGACTCTTACTGTGTTTAGTTAATCACGTTGTTACTGAGTTTTAGTTACTGTTAGTTGCCTAGTTTTTTTTAAGTCATGTCAAATAGATTGCATTTACGAATTGAATGCACATGAACAACCACAAAGTCGCAATTACGAGTGGGAAACTTAGAACTTTTTTTTAGACTCTGTATTGGTGGTAAATTTGTTCAAATTAATATATATAATAATAATAATAATTCATATATATATATATATATATATATTTATATTACATAATATATATATATATATATATATATATATATATATATATATATATATAACTAAGCTGAATATATGT